AACCAGGATACTGCAAAATAGCATGCAATGCACAGAGTGGCACCTCACAACAAAGACTTATCTAGCCTAAAATTCAATAATGTTGAGGTTGAGAGATTTCGATGGAGGGAACCATACTTTGGCTTAAAAAGGAATATTGATTAGTGAAATAAAAGGGACACAATTTCTCAATGGACATTGAAATAATAGTTACCTGTGAATAAAATTAATAGTTTTCCTTGTTCAGTTCTAGTATATGTGGCTGTGAAGCCTGGCTATCAAATGACTAGCATGGATTTTTAAGTAGCCAATTTTTTCTATATTCAGGTTATAGGAGAGATCGCACAGCGTTTCAGCCTGGAAAGATGATGGCTTGAGGAGATCGTGAGGTTCTAAGAAACATAATTCCAAGTCACAGGTATAAAAGGTGACAGCATAGGAAATGCAGTTGATGGTATAATAGCATTCTACGGTGACACGTGGCAGCTCAAATTGTGGTGGGCATAGCATACTGTATGGAGTTTTTGAATCACTATGTTGTATACACCTGAAATTAATACAATGTATGCCAATTATACTTCAATTAAAAAAAAAGAAAACATGTAATTCTGACCATGTAATTGTAAAGTACCTCAGCGAGATAGAAAAAGGAAACCAGAGTGGTTATGTAACAAAACCTTTGGAAAGATCAAATGAGTGAGGAAATACAGAGACAATATTAAAAAAGGATATCATAACAAACCATGATGATCATTGTCAGCAAAACCAAAACTACTTTGTAAAAAGTACTAAGAACTGAGAAAAAATTTTGAATTGTTTTAATGCTGGTGATTGACAAAGATACACTTGCGCTATTCAACACCTACATTTTCTGCCTTCTCTGATGAAGAAAATTATATGCAAGTAATTGTGGTAAATGGTTAGGGGAGGTCTAAAATGGGTGAGGAGAATGAACAAGATTATAAAACTTCCAGGCTAAGCTTTAGAAGGACCACATCCTGGGATGCTGAAGGATATGAGTTATCTGATCTAGAACCAGGTTCTTGGAAGAATCAGAAAGAATGGGAATGATGCAAAGAAACTGGAGATGAGCTGATGTCTTTGCAAGACTCAGAAGGAAACAGGCAGAGTTTCAAATTTCTAAGGCGAGCTTTATGTAATTTCCAGGAAAACTTCAAGAAAGATGTTATAACTGAGTGGTGGGTGAGCACTGGGAGACAGAAATGGGTTTGTTAAATACATGAGTATTTGAAAATGAGCAATATCATACTAATCACATTCCATTTTTTGTAGAGTTGAGAGATAGTTAAGTTAGACAATATACACATGGGATAGCTGGGTTGCAGTAAAGCATTTGAAAATCTTTACTTGATATCTATACGTAGTATATAAAAGTGGGTTTGAAACAAGGAAAATTTAGTAGATTCACAACTAATTAAAGTTCCATGTTTAAAGAGTAGCACCTAATGAAGTGATTCCCTACCAGGCTTACCTCAATGAATATTTTGGTCAGTGACACTGCTGAAGTTGTTGGAGACCCTATTTATCAAATTTCAGTGACATAAGCCTGAGACTATCATGACTACAATACCTAAAAGAATCAGGATCTTAAATTAACTAGATGGAATCCTAGAAGAAAAACATAATAAATGTTCATAAATTCATAGTGTATTGGGATTAGAGAAAATTTTAGTTGAAATCTTCATTTTCTATGCAAAGAAAATAGGTCACAGAAGGGTAACTTTAAGTAGTTCACATATGGCTTACAGGAGCAACACAATAAGTTTATAGGAAGATAAATATAAAGGGCTGATTCATTTAAAACACACACACACACACACACACCAGGGCTGATTGTCTCAAGCAATTATTTGCACTTCAATAATTTGTAGCACTAGCAAATATAGCAGAAACAAAACAAATTATCAGAAATCTGAAGACCTACTGCATCCTATTCTGCATGAGTAAAGCTATAGTTATTGATGATAAAAAGGTAACCAGTTCCAGATTTTTTCCCCTTAGTTTCAGTACATTTAAAAAGTGTACTATAGCTATTTATAGACACTAAAAAGAGAAATCAGTCTCTCTGTATACTGAGGCTTTGTTTTTGAAAAATGATCCACATGGGACTAAACATATAAAGAATGCCTTTATAAGGCAAACAGACGTGCTAGGGGGGAAAAAAGAAAGATAAAACTTTATTGTCAGCAATGCTTATTATAGAAATGAAAACACACTGAAATTCTGGGTTCCTGGGTAATGTCAATAAAACCTATGTGCTGGCATAAGAACTTGCTGTCATTACCAAATAACATCAGATCAGATGAGGGTGTTCATTTATTTGGGTCAATATGTGTCATGCTGCTCTGTCATGCAAAAACCAAAAAGTCATATATGGGCATCATAAGGACAAGAGACAGGATTGGTGAAAGCCTCACTCAAAGGATATGACTGGCACTTTTATGGCTAGCCCAGAGAATCTCAAGCCAAAGAAACTCAGTCTATGAACCCACAAGGGTGGGAAAAGAAAGCTCCTATTGCTAGCTCACAGGACTAAGATTGGAAAGAAATGAATGTTAGGAACAATGGTGATTATATCTGCTGATATAAGTAAATATTACAACTGCATGAGTATCAGACTTGGTGAAATTAATTAATTTACTCATTTATTTCTTCCTATCCTCATTCAATAAATTTCAGTGAATGTTTACCACATGTCAGGCACAGTGATAAGTGCTGGAGATCCAAAGACAAATGGAATTCAGCCCTCAATCTAAAGATTTACAGTCTTTTAGGAGATGTATAAGTCTCCAACAAAATTTTAGAATGAAGCATGATATATCCTATAAGAATCAAATCTATTAGGTAAACAGTGATCTGAGGGAGGGATAAACAGATTAATGGAGTAAGAAAAGGGCTTACTAAGGGAAAATCAGCACAAAAACCAGCCATTAATAATCTCAGAAACTTCTGAGTTTTATAGAAATCTTGGCTTAGAACAAAAGAACAAAGTTGACATTTTTCATGGTATCAGGGTATTAACTGTTAATATTACCTGAGTTTCTATTAGGTGAAACCATAGCCAGAGAATCTAGAAATACCCAAGCCCAAGTCCAGAATGCATCTCTACCCCAATTTTCTCAAGGCAGCTATATAAACAGTGAACAGTGGTATCACAAAGTATAATAGTAATGTGTTATGATGCCCAAATTCTAAGTACAGCTCCAATCCTTCATAAGAGGTCTCCTTTCCCCATTGAACTAAAACGAGAATCTCAGATATTGGCTGAACTCCAGCTTAACCCTTGGGCAGATAACCACAGAAAGAGAAAGACGAGGTTATGGAAGTCAAATCCACATCTGGACTGAATCCTCCTAGCACTCAAGCCACACGGACTACAGAGCCTGAGAGAGCCAGCTATACCTGGGTACAATAATCACAGCCATGCAAAGCTCAGACCAATTCCTAGCAGCTCCTCCCTGTATAATCTAGTTGAGGATGAGTACAAGTGTGAAACTAGAGGAGATATTCCTGGAAATCCTTCCCTCCAGGGGACCACTGACCAACAGAAGAGTGACACGCTACACTACGTAAATTGTCAATTCAGAATGTGACTTGGAAGTATAGTCCACCAATGCTTTGTCCTACAGTATCCTTGCAGATTACAGTCTACAGAGTAGAAATAAGGAATTCTCCATCCATTTTTATAGTTCTGATAATCTAGAACAGCATCCTGTAAAATAGCAGTCTTTGGTCTTTAGTCATTTATAGACTTTTTTTGAATGGCATCAAACATAAAGGCATTTGTTTCTAAAAAGTTTTCAGGTGGGGCGCCTGGGTGGCTCAGTCATTAAGCGTCTGACTTAGGCTCAGGTCAGGATCCCAGGATCTTGGATCGAGCCCCGCATCAGGCTCCCTGCACAGTGGGAAGCCTGCTTCTCCCTCTCCCACTCCCTCTGCTTGTGTTCCATCTCTCGCTGTGTCTCTCTCTGTCAAATAAATAAATAAAATCTTAAAAAAATAAAATAAAAATAAAAAGTTTTCAGGTAAGAGTGTTAATAAAACAAACAAAAAAATAGAAACAATCACAATCCTGAACAAGTACCATCATGACATGCCATAAAAGAAATAATTTTAAAATCAAAAAGTAAGAAAGGGAAATACTAAAGAGCTATCTAAAGTTAATGGCAATAGCATTAAGAATTGACAACATTCTCACTTCGCTACAGACCAGTGAAAGCAACATCAAATTACAATGGGCCAAAGTTGAGTATCTGGGGAAAATTGTTCTATCATCTTCATACCCCCCTACTAAAAATCATACTGTGTAGAACAATCATCTTAAATATTTTGGAAATTATATCTTACTGTACTGGACATAGGAGACCTTAGCATCTCATCCTTTCTTTGACAGAGGGAACTGTTCATTGAAAGTCAGTACAGTCACTCACATTGTGCATACTTGAAACAACTCTTGAATTGGTAGATTTACCTCCCCTCATACAAATCTAAATCTCTTCAAACCTTACTTACCCAGTCCTCAATGTGAGTGACATGGTTGGCAGACAAGGACATTGACTTAGTGTCTGAGGAAGATGTGTGAGAGTGTGCCTCCCTTCAAAGCCCCTTAGAACCATTTCAGTTATTAGAGATTATTTTGTTGTTGTCAGAGTTGAAATGTTTTCTATGGTAAGAGAATGGTGAATGTCACATAAGCTACAGAATTAGGAGTTTTGCCCAGAATAATGAAACTGAAAACGATTTTAAAAGTCAGAAAAAGTTTTATGTTGCAATCATATGGAAAAATAAGAATAATTTCTAGGGGAAAAAAGGGAAAGAAAAAAGAGTTCCTTTAAGAAAGATTTGTAGCAAATTGCATAATTCAAAGCAAGGCTCTCAAGATCCACTGTCCCCAAAGTACTAGCTGAATTAGTTTTCTAATTTGAGCATCAGTTGGGAATTCACTTCATCAGCATGACTTTGTGTAATTAGAACAAGATAGCTTATGAACAACCACTTACAGAAAGGAACTGGTGATCCTTTACTACATTAAAGACCTCTACTAGGAAGGAATTGCCAGTGTCCATCCAATCTTGATGCCACTGCAGGGCTAGAGGCAGAATTCTCTAGACAGAGCAGATCTTATTTCACAAGCTTTCCTCTTCCAAAAAATGTAGGAGTCTGCAAAGAAAAGCCCCATGTCATACATCATTCTTTTCAAGCTAAGTTCTAAATATATTTGCTATCTGCAAAAAGAGACTAACTGGATTTTAGCCACTGAGCAGGACCTAAGGACCTAGTTACACAACACTGACTTGGTAAAGAGAGTCAACTAAGCCTCATTTAAATTTAAAACTTGAAATGACTGTTCACTTGAAATTATGTAAGACTTGAGTTACACATCATATTTCCATCCTTCACACTCAGTGTATGTGTGTGGCAATGAGCCATCTTTCCTTATAATAGACCTTCTGTATCCCTTGCTACATTTTTAAAATAAACAAGTGGATTCTAGAATCTGTCATGGTCTAAATATTTACCTTGTAGGACTACAACTTATGATCCCAGTTCTGTATTTATGTGACATTTTGTTTCCCTCAAAAATCACATTACTTCATTTCAATCTGCTAAAGTCATTAACTAGTAATCATTAACCCCACACCTTTATTCAACTCACTTAAGCAACTCGTCCCATAACATTAAACAGAAAATTCCTTGGAACCTCGACTCAGAAATCCTACTTCTCTCCCACAAATAATGTCTTTTCAAACATGTGTAGTGCCTCTGTAATCACACACGTGCTATATTGCCTGACAGAGTGGGTTATTTTTCATGCATCATTCCAACCCATGTCATCTTAGGAACATCAGCTTAGACTTCCTTGAATCTCTGATATACACTATATTTGGCTTAAAAGAGTAAGAAAATCAACTCTGCCAAAATATGCCTATTTATTGCTTTTAGACAAGTTGCTATGTAACTGCTGGAAAATTGCAAAATGGAAACTGTTTAATGTTAAGATCTCAAACATGAAATGACTCGTCCCTTCAAAGAGTCAAGAAAACTCTATCATTGGTAAGTATTGACATCGTAGGTAGGATAGACACTTAGATGTGATGGATTCTATTTGAGTGAAAGGAAGACACAAAAGAACGTAAACTCTATGATTCTATGTATATAAAGTTAAAAAAAAAAAAGTAAACTAATCTGTGGTGCCCAAAATCAGGATGGTGTTTGCCTTTGGGGAGAAGCTAGAAAGGATGATTGGGAGTGGCTTCTAGAATGCAACAGTGTTCTCTCTCTTGATCTTTGTGGTGGTTATATGGGTATGTTTATTTCATGATAACTCATTAAGCCTTTCACTTATAATTTGTGAACTTTTTGTGAAGGTTAGATTTCATTACAAAATTTAACATACACAAATGTCTAAAGCCTACTTCTAACCAATTAAATCAGAATCTCTACAAATGGAGCCCAAGCTCTGGTAATCTTTCAAAGCTCAGAGTGCTGATTATGCTTCATTTGCTTCCCCACTCCTGGCCGTACTTGGATTTGTACTGTGGGAGGCTGACAGCTAAGAACTGCCTTACCCAATCCCCTTACCTGCTGCACCCCCAATGGATTTGGGAATAGAAGGAGTCTGGAGAAAGGGAAGGATATCGGAGGATTTGTTCCTTCCACCATGCTGTCCCCCTGACTGACTGACTGTGATTCTGAGTGTGGTAGTGTTTCCTTCAGTGACCAAGACAATGACTTTCACTGGGCTCAAATTGCACTCTTCCCTTCTTTTGCCTCTTTTAATCTGGTGTAATAATGGTATCTGAGAAGTCTGGCTCCTGGCAAAAAGACATGTGTGAATTGTCAGGCCTGACCACAGACAATTACAAGTGCTTTACCTGGATGGACCTCATGGGGGAAGGTTGCCCTACCCACACTTGAATTGGTGCACAACTAATACATTCCACTCCCTGAAGGCAAGGGCTCAGGCCTTTCTGGCCAGACACATTCTTAATACATTTACATTTCTATACTTTGTGACATCATTCCCAGGTCTCTTTATCTGAGGCCTTAGGCAGAGGTCTTCTTCAGGTGCCTCCACTGAGACCTCTTTATTGGGGGAGGACAGGGAAAACTTGAGACGTTTGCCCACCCTATCTCAATACCAACACTTTTCATTCCTAGTCCCTCCCCCTTACCCACTCTCTCCCCACAACTCGCCAACTCAAAGGCCCATTAAGCTACCACAGGCTTTTGTTTAGGGCTCCCTTAACATTGAGATGACCCCCACATCTGGGCTAATCCATTTGACTCTTGACTGATATGCCATCCCGTGGGAAACAATGGAACACTGAGAATCTAGACTTTCTCTGGTTTTAGATTCTTGCTTGTTTTATCACCTCAGTCACTGACTGAAGGCTTAACTCTCATTTTTGGCTTGTTGCTTTAATTGGCTACTCCAACACTTGGCAGTTCAGCTCTCCCTCTCCCAGCTCAAGGGAGCTCCTGACAACATCTTGCTGCTGATACTGCTAGAGGCTTCACCATCATTTAGTGGTTCTCATAACCTTGCCCACACCTCTGTAAGTATAACTGTATTAAATTCTCTTCAGTTATTCCCATAGAGCATGCCATGTGTCCCGAGAGCCTAAATGATACACCAACTAAATGATTCCGGTATGCAGGCAGTGTTGAACAGTACTGATGGAAACCTTACGTGCCATTAGAAGGAATAAGCACTTGACCTTTGCATGTGTTTCCCTAATCTGTCATAACAAGGTTTCACAAACTGGGTGGTATAAACAACATAAATTTACTGTGTCACAATTCTGAAGGTTAGGAGTCCAAAAATCAAGATGTTGGCAGGGCTATGCTCCATCTGAAGCTGCTAGGGAAGGATCTGATCCAGGCCTCTCTCCTAGCCTCTGGTAGCTCCTTGGCTTGTAGCAACATAAATCCAGTTTTTACATGATGGCTCATCGTGTTTAAGAAACATCTTGAGGGCGCCTGGGTGGCTCAGTTGGTTAAGCAACTGCCTTCGGCTCAGGTCATGATCCTGGAGTCCCGGGATCGAGTCCCGCATCGGGCTCCCTGCTCGGCAGGGAGTCTGCTTCTCCCTCTGATCCTCCCCCTCTCATGCTCTCTGTCTCCCATTCTCTCTCTCAGATAAATAAATAAATAAATAAATAAAAATCTTAAAAAAAAAAAATCTTGAGAATTTCATTTGCAACAAGTTCACAGGTGATGCTAAAGCACCCAATGCTGGTGATCCAGGAACCACACTTTGAGAACTACTGTTTTAGAGAGATTATTTAGGTAGTAGTTTGGTGGATAGAATAATTTTAGCCAGGAGAACAGAGAATTATATTACTTTTATTGTTCTTATCAGTTTTAAAATTACAACTGATTCAATGAAAATGTTATTTGGTATCTGGTATCATATAAGTGTTTCTTTTTCTCAATGAAAAACAAAAGCAGGTCCCAAGCTCCAGGGCTTCATCTAATTTCCATGCAAATGACTAGATCTGTAGGTTGTTTTCTCGGTATCAGAAATCATTTGCACACCTCTTTCAGAGTAGTACTTCATTGCTACTAAACTGATGAAATTTTCCATGGCAGAACTCAAGTTGCAACAAATCCCTTGAGGCTAAAGGAATTTATTATTACCTAGCATCAACACCAACAGAAAACTGTAATCACATGCTGCCTGTTCATGTATGATGGATCAATTCTGACACCAGGCACTCACCTCTGACCTCTCTAATGTGAAATTATCCCTCCAGGGATATTCATTTTGATGACAACCTCTCTTGAACCTTAATGAGGTCTAAGTGTTTGATCAGTGAATACATTTCTGGATACAAAGCATACAGGCTGTCAGGAAAGACAGGGGAGGGAATGTAATGACTAAAACTCCAAATTCTCATAGCCTCAACACTCAGTGGCACAGTCCAAAGGATCTAAGATCTAGGAGCATCATGCTGGCCTAGGAATCTAGAGACCCACCTTTCAGAATGGTTTTAGCAACACTGGAATGGATTACCTTGGAAAGTTACCTAACTTCTCTGAGCTAATCTGAATAGACAATAAATTAAAATATTTGAATTCTACATTTCCTTTTATCCCTTTGAATTTGCCTATATATAGTTTTGATTCCAACAGGAGAGGGGACATTCTGACTTGGTATCCCATTAAATAAAGGGAAAGCAAGGTAAGGGAGTTCAGAGAAAACCAAACCAGGTCTGGATTCAAACACACCTGGCTCTGAATCCAGACTCTGCCACACAACCCAGATATATTTTTTAAATCACTCTGAGTTAGAAATTCCTCATCAGCAAAACTAAAGTAAAAATACTTACCTTGAGGGTTCTTATGAGGATTAAAGATAATATATGCAAAGCACCATGCATCAGTTTTCAATCAAGGGTCGTATAAATCACTTGGTATCTTAAAGAATTTCTGGAAGTAGAAGCTTCTGAATGTGAAACAGGTTTAAAAAAAGAAAGTGAAAATAAAATCCAGTGGCATCAGGAACCAGCCCAACAGAGTTGTTTCTTTGCTCTGGAAGCATCTGATGTGTGCTGGGTTTGACCCACGTTGGCTGTCTAGCTTTTGCATTGCCCTGAATTACTCTTACTCTTCAACCCTCGCTTTGCTTTGGCTTCATTTCTATTTCCCTGTTATGGCTAGCACCTGTCTCAATTCTCTCCAGCGTTGGACTTCTTTAAATGAGAATTTTGATGCGTGCTCCTGGCTTACAACATGGTTGCTATATCCCTGGATTCTGCCTCAGCAGAATAATTCTAGTATGTTTATATTGATAAGGGTTTATATAATGAGTATTCTTAATAAAAATCAACTAAAATGAAATACTGTCTTTGCAGCTTACTGATTCCTCAGTACCACTATGAATGTAAAAGAGCAAAATTGCTGCTGTGACAGCAGCAGCAGATAATGGAAATAACCAGAAAATTCAAAGAAAGATTAGAAGAGAGCTTTAGAGGCAAAGGCACTGGTGCCAACACCGGACAGCACTGTGGGCAAATCTCCATTTCTAAATTTAATGGTGAGAGACAGAGACATGCATCTCCAGGGAAAAGATTATCTCCCGTAATAAATAACAAGAGACTGGTATTCCCACACCCTGGTCACCAAGACGGACAGGTTCTGCAAAATAACTCTAAAGCTGGTGAGACTTTGAACATCTGAATGTAGCAGTCACTCTGGAATCACCAAACCTAATGTTGCATATCTGATAGCTATAAACAAACTAGAATTATTCAGCAGGGCATTCCAAATGTCTGAGCCACCGCTAAATCGGCCTAGAGGTAGGAAGATGATCTTAATGATGTATGACAAGACTTGCATTACAAAATCATTTCAATTACTGGACACGTTAAAAAGCCACTTTGCAGCTGCTAGAAAAATTTACAAATAGACTTTAAATACATCTAATGCAGAACAGGCTTTAACCTTCCTGTTCCAATTCTAATTTCACTCTAACCTGCAGAAACAAGCTGGAGAACTGATCTACGGATGAAGATAGGGACACTGGGATGAAACAGAGGCAAAGAAAGCCTTCCTCCAACCGAGAAAATACTTCCTTGATCAGAGTCACATCAAGGACTAGATGAAGAGGTCTCGCTATTTATGTTGTTTCAAATTGCACCAAAATCCTAACTCAATTTAAAACCCTCACTGTATGGGCAACTAAAAAACTTCTTAAAGTCCTTTCCAGAGAATTTTCACTGGAGTACTCAACTTTCTGTGAACTGCCTCCACTTAGCCTACACAACCTTCAAAAGTGCAAGCTCACATTGAGACATGAGATGCATTTTTACTTACCATTGTACCCTGTCAACTAGGTAATTAGACATGTTACAGAACTGCAAAAAAAAAAAAAAAAAAAAACACCTAATTTTCTGGATTGTAAACTGGAAATAAAGTCTTCCAATGTAAGTTTGTTTTGAGATTGGACAAAACCACATTCTTCAAATGACTGAATTTGGCACATTATAATAAGAATAGTTTCTATTATTAAGGGACATCCTCAGCTCCAATCACATTGGGTTATTTTTCTCCAAAGGCACCAAGGTTTTGGTGTTTGCTCCTCACCAAAAAGAATGTCTTGAATCATCTCCAACTACACACTGCCTACCTAAGCTTTAAGATCTAATTCAAGTCTCCAATCTTCCATGAATCCTCTGCATACCCAAACCATATTGATCTCTCACTTTCCTGAACCATCAAATTCAATGATCCTTCTCATTTTGAGAACTGTATAAAGCAGCTTCCCCCATTCGACTGCATCACGTAAGCAATCCTATCTTCCCAACCAGAACTGAAAGTGTGGGATGATAAGATGTTTCATGTGTTGTGTTGTTTTTGTTTGTTTTTTGAGTAGAGTTGACACACAATATTACTTTAGTTTCAGGTGTACAACTTAGTGATCTGACCTGGTTTTTAAACCTCTGTGTTATTCCCTTCAAGTCCCAATGCCATGAGATCCACTAAGTAGTATAAAAAGATAATTCTCAATCATATACCTATATTTAATAAGTATTTTCTCACCACAAAGACAGCCATAAATACAAATTAAAGGTCAATACAAGTTAACTTACATTGTAGCATAAAAATGAGCAGTATATGAAATCTGTTTTCCTTAATTGCAATTTACAGGTTCCCACAAATAAGAGCGAGGAATAGGGACAGGGGAATAACACAGCCTGGTCTCTATCTGTCCACTGGGCCTATTCAGCTAAACTCTCACTCTCTGTGTAGAGATCCAGGCACCCAGTCTATCAAGATGAAGCTGGGAAAAACAGAAAAGAGTGCTTTTCTCCCAGCAATCCTAATAAAAGTCTTATTCATTTTATTGACTCTGATTATCTGCCTATCACTGAATCAATCACTTCAGCCAGGGGCATATGATATTCTCAGTGGCCAGACTAAGACATAAACCCACTGCTGGAGCTGGCAATTTACCAGACTCCACAGAAAACCTACAACCTAAAAGTGGAAAACAGGGCAGTTCCCCCCAGGAAAGCTGAAGCACTGTTAGAAGAGTGAACAGTTTCTGCATAATATAAACAACACAGGGCTCTTCGACAGATGCACATTTACCAGTTGGTTATTTAAATCTGTAGATATGGGAACACTCTAAGTCTCCCACCTTGTACATTTTTTTTTTAATTCCTGAATAAAACATCCATGAACACTTTGTATAAAATTAAGAATAATTCTTTGGAAAACCACAGTTCACCTGTTTTTTTCCCCAGATCATTTAGTAGTATGACCGGAGTGCCCAAAGTCCATCTGCCTGGGCTACAATTAGGGACAGACATGAGATCAAAGGACAAAGTACTAGTCTGATTTCAATCTGCCCACATAGAATATACCACAAAGCTCTGGAAGGTCATGACCAGTTAAAAAAAAATAAATAAAGAATATTCCAGTATGAAATTATTTTTCTTTCCACTAACATGTAAAAACAGGATGCTAAGAACCACAATCATTATGAATTCTCATCCCCACCCCATCTTCTCAAAAGCAGATTTCCATTTTGGTTAATTACATGCTGCCTCTGAAAATATTCAATTTAGGGTTCAGTTTTCTCGCTTTATTTTCAGTCACACTTTTGTATTGTCTTATTTACTCTAATTCAAATCAAATTAGATGTTGTTCTTATTTCTTCAAAATACAAAATAAACCCATGCCCTACAAAATGTCAGCAATGTTGTGGGAAAACAGCAACAACTAATATTTACTGAGAACATACCATAAAGCAGATAGTGTTTCGGTCTCAAGATAAGGGCTCTGCAGGGAATGAAAATAGGACAACATGGGAGAAAGGGATGGCATGGTCAAAGGAAACTTTTTTTTTTTTCCAAAATGCAACAGTAATGTTGGAATTTCAATGTCAAGAAAGGTAGACAAGCCTGTATAAAGGGAACAGACATTCCAGAGAAACTAGTGCAAAGACCCTGAGTATTTGTGTCCTCCCAATATTTATATGTTGAAACCCTAATCCCTACTGTAATGGTTTTTGGATATTTGTGATGTTATATTGGAGGTAATTAGATAATGGGGGTCAGGCTCTCATGAACAGGTTTAGTATCCTTATAAGAGGTCAGAAAGCAGGCTTTCTTTCCATCATGTGAGAACATGGCAAGAATTCAGCTATCTACAAACCAGGAAGTGGGCTCTCATCAGACACCATATCTGCTGTCATCTTGATTTTTATTTTTCAAGCCTCCAGTTCTCTGAGAGATAAATATTATTTAAGCTATCCAATCTCTGGAATTTTGTTATAGAAGCTGGAACTGACTAAGACCCTGAAATGTGACCAAGGTTGATGTGTTGAAAATAGAAAGAAGCCATTTGAGTATGTGTGTGTGATTGTTTTATCTTTCTTGATTACAATATACTTGGGTAAGACTAGCATGAAATGAGTTCTGAGATTGGTCAGAGGCCTGGTCATGGAGAATTCTATAAATAATAGTACAGGGTTTGATTAAAATTTGAAATTGAGGCTTTTATTTTCAGCAAGAGGAGTCAAATTATCTGTAAGTTTTTAAAAAGACTTATCATAGAAGGTATATAGACAAAGGGTTATAGTGGAAAAATTGAAAGCCAACTATTTATTCAAGATAAGTAATCAGGATAGGATGATGATTTGGATAACAGCAATAGCAGAGAGAGACAGAAGTGGGTGAATATTTGATTCAGAATTAGAGTAAAAAAAAATGGTACTGGATCTCATAAGGTAAAAGGAGGGAAATGTAAGGCTAAAGATTATTGACATAAGCAACTGAGTGGGTGATTTTAATGTTTACTTGAATGGTAAAGAATACAGGATGAGTAGAGTAAGGATAAGCATCAACCAAGAATTCCAGTTCATAACTTTTAAATTTGAGATGTCTATTAAATATTGAAGCAGTATGATAAGTAGGTAGTTACATATAGTGATGTAGCACTGTGGGAATAGGTCATGCTGTAACTGGTGAATTTGAAGGTGCAGGGCAAATAGATGCTATTTATAGACAGAAGGCTGAGTTCATCTAGGAAGAATGAGTAGTTAAAAAAGAAAAGAGGGTCCATCACTGAACCACTGGGCAATGCAACATTCAAAAGTTGAGAAGAGGAGCAGTTAGTAAAGTGAGTCAAGAACAAAAGGCCACCAAAGTAGAAGAAAGCCAGGAGAATGTTTTGTCACAGAAGGCAAGGGGAGAGACTTTGAAAAGTAGTGGAATCACTAGCCATGGTTAGTGTTTATGTAAGTTTAACATAAAGACAGAGAAATAATTATTGGGTTAGTAACATAGATGTCATTGATAGCTTTGGGAAGAATGGTCTCAGTGGAGTGGCAGGGATAAGAGAACAATCACAGTGGGTTGATAAAAGAATGCAAGATGGTAAAATGGAAACACGCACCATATACCACACTTTTAAGAATCTCGCAACAAAGGAAAATTTTAAAAATAGGGTACTGGTAAGAGGAAGTCTGGTAGAGTTCACAGAATGCATTTTAAAAGAGGAAATATTTGGAAATGCTTTTGTAATGATATGGGTAACTAGCCAACGGAAAGGGA